GAAAGTCATTGAAAAAAATCATGATCTTCTTTGCGCTGATTGCAAAGACATAAGAACAACATTTTGGATCATGATTTTTGCTTCTGTACACTTTGTTCTCTCCCACCTCCCTAACTTTAACTCTATATCTGCTGTCTCCCTCGCTGCCGCCGTTATGTCCTTGAGGTAAGCCTAAACGCAATTATGACAAATTTCGTTAAATGATCAAAATTGATTATATATACATATTTGTTTGTGAGAATAACCCATATCATCGAAAGTTTCATTGGGACTTAAGTAATATTCAAAACCAAATGAGAATGAGTGGATTTATATATGTTGCTTATATACTACTAACTATATAAGTTTTTTCATTTCATTTTCTTGATATGATTTTTTTTTTGTAATAAAATGCAGTTATTCAACAATCGCTTGGGGAGCCTCGGTAAAGAAAGGGGTTCAACCAGATGTAGACTACACATTTAGAGCCTCGACGAGCTCAGGAAAAATATTCAACTTCATGAATGCCTTGGGAGATGTCGCATTTGCGTATGCGGGTCACAATGTTGTGTTGGAGATTCAAGCTACTATTCCTTCAACACCCGAGAAACCATCCAAGATCCCAATGTGGAGAGGAGTGGTAGTTGCCTACATCGTGGTCGCCATTTGCTATTTCCCCGTTGCATTTGGTTGCTACTACATTTTTGGAAACAATGTGGACGACAACATTCTTATGTCGTTGGAGAAACCCATTTGGCTTATCGTTATGGCTAACGCATTCGTGGTTGTCCATGTTATTGGAAGCTATCAGATATTCGCAATGCCGGTTTTCGATATGCTCGAAACCTTTTTGGTTAAGAAAATGATGTTTGATCCTTCCTTCAAACTCCGTTTCATCACTCGAACCTTATATGTTGGTAAGTTGTTGTTTTTTGTTATATATTGAATCAATACACTTACATAACAAAATCTGATTTTATAACACATTGAACTTGATGGAACAGCTTTAACCATGTTCGTCGCCATATGCATTCCGTTTTTCGGTGGATTACTTGGCTTTTTTGGAGGATTCGCCTTTGCTCCAACAACTTACTACGTAAGTTATTCAATACACAAATTGAGTTTATTCATTTGTTTTAAACAGAAACCCTAGTACCTTATTTGATACACATTTTATTTCCCTTATGATTAGCTACCTTGCATCATGTGGTTGATTCTCAAGAAACCAAAGAAGTATGGATTGTCTTGGTCTATTAATTGGGTATGTGCCTATTACTTATCATTTTCTATTAATTGTATGTGTTTTTTCTTTTTGGTTAAAATTTGACAGTAAATTGTTGTTTGGTTTTGTTAAAATTGCAGTTCTGCATAGTAATAGGTGTTATGTTGACGATCATAGCTCCTATTGGTGGCCTCAGAACCATCATTATCTCCGCCAAAGGCTACAAGTTCTTCTCTTGAAGAAAAAATCACCCTCTTGCTTTGATTGTATGTTTAATATTATGTTAAACATCTACATCAAAAAAACTCCTACAATATATACAGTCATGTATTTGTGTGGAAGAAACACATGTATGTTAGGGCTTCTAAATGTAACTTCTATGAATTTATTATCTACTGTTGTTGTATATGTATCTCCTATAAATAACTAAATTATATAATAATGACTGAAACAAAGGTTTATTTGGATGTTTCCAATAGTGTTAACATTGGCTTTTACCATTTTGGGATTTTTCATACTAATTATATTTATATGGAACCGGCCCATTATAAAATCCAGTCCACTAAACAAGATTACCCATCCCGCCCAAAACAAGACATTTTCCCGCCACTTCCCTTCGTCTTCTCCAGTCGCCGCAACAAGTCTCTCTCTAGAAACGCAGAGATTTAGAGAAAGAGAGAGACAGAGAGGTTGAAAAAGAATGGCGACAGATGAGGAGATAAAGAGAGAATTCAACCGTAGCGGCTTTGCTCTTGTGGAAGAAGAGGAGATTCTTGAAAGATGTAAGCGAGAGTAAACCTAATTTCATTCAGCCCGATCTTGTGTCGTTCTCCAAATTACTATGATAGTTTGAGTTTTGTTTTGTCTGAATTATTTGGGTTTTCTTCTTAGGTGTTACTCTCTGCATAAATTACAGTCTGAAGCCTTCTGAACTCGTTTCAAGCTGGGAACTTTATCATCTCAATCGGTAAATCTACGTTCCTAATTTCTCCGGTTCATAGTAAAGTTCAATGATTTTGATGCCCATAGCGATTGTATTGAGGTATTAAGTATATGCATAGGTTAAAACAGCGAGAATTTCATGGGTTTTTGTCTCGTCCCATGTTCTAAGGCATGTTTTTATATGATGCTATTGGTGAATGAGAGAATTTGGGTTTAAACCATTCTTTTATGTTTTGGTTTGATGCAACAGACAAATTATCGATCAAACTGTTAAGAAAGATGAAATGGATGGGTTTCTACTGCATCTTCAAAACCAACAGAGAGAATCTATCATGAAAGAGGAAGCTGGTCTGCATATCTACTCAAACAGAGATGTCGACATGTAAGTGCTTTCCATCAACCTTTGTTCTTTCTTCCATCTGCTTTTTGAAGACATACAAATTGCTTTGATCCAGGATTTTGGACGGGATTCCTGAAGACACAACAGAGGAGACTGTCACTACCCCTACAAACAATTCTCAGCGGTTGCATCCGGATCCGTTTGATTCAATAAACAGGTCGAAAGATTACGGTTACTCTACTGGGAAATCGGCTGGACATGTGACACCTTTTGCGCGGCGGATCGACAAGTTTGTGGTGAAGTTTAACATAGGTAATAATGTGGAGGCACAAGCAGAGAATGGACACAACAATGATGTAGAAAGCAGTGAGGATGATATGATCATTCAGAGAGTTCAGACAAGCCACAGGTGTTCTCTAAAAGTCAATGGGTCAGGTCCTGAAGCGGGTTGTAGGTTCATGTATGACAGAACGGAGGACAGGTTTAATGCACTCGAGAACCGGATCATAAGGCATGCAGATGCATTTGCTGCCTCGGGGTTATATGATGAACAGGTGGATCCAGCTGTTGCTTCACAGGTAGCCTTGGCCGTACACTCTACTTTGGTGTCAAATAAGTTTAACATTGGGGTATAGAGTTTGCTTACAGTGTGCTACTGATTGCTTCAGAGAAGTATATTTGCTGTGGGAATGATTTGTTGTGATGGAGAGGGGCATTTGAATGACAAGTCCATTCTATTGCAAAGCAGGTAACTCAATTATGGCTTTATTTGTGGTTTTATATTATTGCATTCTGTTTCGACTCTGCAATGAATCCTGCTTTACAAAAAGTTGCATATCCAGATGCATGAACTTTTTCAAAATTTGGATACCAGAATGACTTAATACGAACTCGGAATTTGGATATTGTGGTCCTATAGTTATAAATGATTATAGTTTGTTAATGGCATAACTCTCTTTTAAACATGAAGCACCTTAATTCAGAATATCCAGAGTTTCTCTAATGCCAACGAATACTATGATTGCAGTGCCGAGCGTACTTCAGGACAGCGTGTTCCACTGGACTTAAACAGACTAAATCAGTTCTCTATTTTTCCTGGCCAGGTAATAGCTTAAAGCTAACATCCTCAGGTTTTATGTTTTTTCCCAACAGAAAGCTCGTATTATTCATGTAGAGGTGGTCTGAATTTGATGCAGATAGTTGGCATTGAAGGACAAAATCCTAGTGGACATTATTTCACCGCATCCAAACTGGTAGATTCAGTTCCCTTAACAGTCACTACTGACGTGGATCTACCTCCTGCTAAGAAGCAAAACCTGGATCAGGAGGTCTTACCTCTCGCAGATGAATCCCGTGAAAAAACAGACGTTTCATTTGTAAGTATGCTATCCTTCATCTCAAGGGAGCTGTACTAGGTTTTTTTTTTTGCATTGTCTTAAAAAAACCAGAGGTTTCATTTGGTCATTTCTTTCTTATTATTCTAGCTCATATATTTCCTGCATATATGCACACATGATCAAAATGATGAGATGAGGGAAATGCAAAATGTTGAGAATTTTAGAGACCAGAAAGTTGTTTTGGGTAAGCTAGGTTGGTAACTCCAAAGACTGGATCTCTTATAGTTAGTGACTTCGATATTGCCAGGAAACATTAGTATGTTGTGTTCCCTTTATTCTGGTGATATTTGAAAAGTATGTAGGCATGTATGTATGATCTGTTCTGCTATTATGCATATTAAGTTCTCGTTTTCGAGCACAAGGATGGTTTTTAAGAATCAGGTTGCATCATAATTTTCTAGGTTGGGATTCAAATTAATGCTTAAGGGTCTTTATGTTGACAGATAGTTGCATCCGGACCATTCACCACAACAGACAACTTGCTGTTTGAGCCATTGAATGAGCTACTAGCCTATGCAAAAAGAAAGCCACCACAGTTACTCGTCCTGGTGAGTTATTAAGATTCATTCAGACCTTTTGTAGACTGTGTCGTGTGTGAGTCAGATGGTGACTTATTGTTTTTTTGTTTCTCAAACTCAGCTTGGACCGTTTGTGGATTCTGAGCATCCAGAGATTAAGAAAGGAGCGGTTGATGCCACCTTTAATGAGATATTCCATGTGGAAGTCCTCAGGAAGGTAATGAAAATAGAACAAAAGAGATATTAAACACTGACTGAGTTCGGAATAAACAAGGTCTCTTTTATGTTTTTGGGGTTTCACAGTTGCAAGACTATGTGGAATTCATGGGTTCAGAAGTACGAGTGGTTCTCGTGCCATCCATCCGCGATGCTAATCATGATTTCATATTCCCACAGGTGCTATTTTCTTTTCCTCTCAGAAACTCCTCACTTTTTACGCATTTCTCTTCTCTATTTTGACCTGAAAAGTTTCCCCTTGTCTAAAGCAGCCTCCTTTCAACATTCACATACCTGATCTCGAACATCAGGTACTTGCTTCCTCTCATTAACAGTCTTCATTTCATAAACTCAACTCTCCCTGCACATGCTGATAAACTAACTTCATTCTCTTCTCTTTCTTCTCCCATACATACAGATGACCAGTCTATCAAACCCGGGTACCTTCGAGGCAAACCAGGTAATAAAATCACTATGACAATTCTCTTCTGAGAAGCCATATTCTCTTAACTCTCAAAAGTTCTTACAACATAAACATTTATTGGGGATCTCAGGTGAAGGTAGGTTGCTGCACAGTGGATGTACTAAAACATCTGAGCGGGGAGGAGATGTCGAAAAATCCAAGTGGAGCCACGACTGATCGCATGTCCAGACTCGCTAGCCATCTCCTTCGTCAGCGAAGGTATACCACTGCAACTTTTGACTTTACTTGTTCAAAACCAAAATATTCAAAAGAAATTTCTATTCTTATGAAACAGCTTCTATCCTCTGTATCCACCACCGGAGAGCCTCCCTTATGATTCCACACTGGCTCCTAAGGCTCTACAGATTTCATCAATCCCGGACATTCTCTTGCTTCCATCAGACATGAGGTACTTCGTAAAGGTAAGTCAGCATGTTAATAGTGGCAGCATCAAGTTTCAGAAGCTAAAGAAGCTGTGATGTTTGCGAGTTAGTGAATATTTTTCCTGAATGTGAAGGTTTTATCTCTTGGGGAAGGGGAAGATGCAGTCAAGTGTGTGTGTGTAAACCCTGGAAGACTGGCCAAAGGAGAAGGAGCAGGTACTTTTGTTGAGCTTTCTTACAAGGGCGGTCCAGAATCGATGCATGCTTCCATCATCTCTATTTAATTCAAATTGTTAGGCTAATTACATTCTGATTTATTTTAGCTTTTAATTACATTCTGATTTATTTTAACCCTCACATGTTTTTCATATATAAGAAAAAGCATTTGGTTCCTCTCGCTTTCCATGTTACCATCATATGCAATGTAATTTAAGCGCAAAGATTTATATAGTAAATCTCCCCATGAAACCAATTTCTCGGCTGAATTTTTCAAAAGATTTCAGCAAAATCTCCCCATGAAACCAATTGTATTTCAATCTTCTTTTTTGTAGAAGAGTTACAAGACAAATTATCAATGAATACAATAATCCTTCCAACTTCCAAGATTCTTTTCATAGTCGGGACAAAAAACACATAACATGCACTTACTTAGCCGTTGAAAATTTAAAACTTGCATAATGAAAGGTTATTTTAGAATTAAAGAAAAAATGATTCTACTTTCAGAAAGGGACAGAAAAAAAGTTCAGAGAACAAATTGGTAAAATACCCATATGATCCATAGATAGACCGCTCTGTCTCTCTTCCACGTCTAACGGCTCTCTTTTGCCAGCTGTTAGAAAATTTCAAATGTCACCTTTTTTTGACAAATAAAGTTAAATTTTTAATTCACCCCAAAGCTTCTTAAAGTTTAAACCTAGTCCACAATTCCGTGCTCAACAACGATTTCTTATTCTTGGAGCTATATGTAAATATATAAAGTATGTAGCCATATCAGGATATTAATGAACTACAGGGACCTGTACCAGTCACTAATAACATTTTTTTTAAAAGGTTTTCTCCACAGAATTTGAAGTTTTGAATTTCTGTCTTCCGTTTTGTCCTTCTCTCTCATTACTTCAAAGTCTCTCTGATTCTGATTTCGCTTCCATTTTCAAGCTCTTCATTTAATTCGGCAAATGGGTAGCTGTTTCAGCAAGAAGACTTCTCCATCTTCTTCTTCTTCTACTTCCAATGGCGGATCGTATTCTGCAAAGTCACCAGATCCGAACAAATCCGCCATTAATAAACCTCTGAAACTCGAGACTGGAGGAGCACAAGAGAAGCTCGAATCAGAAGAATCGAAGCCAAAGAATGAAGTGAAACAAGAAGCAGAGCTACAAGAGAACGGCAAAGCGAGGAAAGAGGTGTTCGTGATAAAACACCGAAGGAGCCATGAGAGATCCAAGACGACGACGGATCCGGAGGATTCCACAGTTTCCGATGAGAAATCAACCGGCTCGAATCAGAATCCAGTAGATGTGGATGCAATATTGATTCAGTGCGGGAGGCTGAGCCGGAGCAACTCCGCCGCCGGAAAAACAAGGAGATACTCTGGATCTAAGAGGAGCTTCGATTTCGACCAGAACGATAGGAATCGCGACGGCGACGCGGAGGAGGCGGATGCGGAAGACGGCGGAGAAGAAGAGGCTGAGCGGCGGATTCATCGGCAGCGTCACCGTGGCGGAGATTCGCCTCGGGAACGGAGAAGACGAACGCCGAGCAGAGAAAGGGAGGATTCGAAGAGTTATCGATCGGGAAGTAGGGAGAGAGGAAGTGGTAGTAGAAGAGTAAGCAGATCTCCGGGAAGAAGATCGGAGACAAACCCTAACTCCGGCGCCGGTAGTGGCAGTTCTTTGAATTCGAGTAACAATATTAATAGACCAGCGAAATTCGTCTCGGTTCCTGCAACGGACAAGAGCAACAATGGAGAGCCATCTATCAAACGGACTATTGTCAAGAGAAACGTTGGAAAAGCGGCGTCTCCTAGGTCACAGTCTCCGGCGAGAGCGGCGTCTCCTAGGTCACAGTCACCTGCAAGAACGGCGGTTAACACCAATAGTTACGCTCAGCCTTCGCCGTCTAAGCTCAGTCGGAAAACGGAGCATTCTCCATACAGGAGGAACCCATTGGGAGAGATTGATCCAAACTCATTGGTGTATCCACAAACTCAAGGGGATAAATTGGGATCTTGCAACAAGAAGATGATGAACAGAGAAAATGAAATTCAGGGACTGATTAAAGAATCTGCAAATTTGGTGGGTCAGGTATGAATTCTTCTTACTAGAACGTAATGAATCCAATCCCAAGTAATTGGTATTGTTTGAATGAATGTTTCTAAATGTTGCACAAGTTGAATCCAATCAAGTATTATGTATTGTTGAAGTGAATGTTTATAATGCTTCTGTTTCAGAAGTTGAATGCCAAAACCGGTTCTCAAGCTCCTATTCGCAGAAGTGCAAGCCCGAGCCGTGTCACCAAAGAGGCAGAGGAAGAGTGTAAGATAGTGTTATCGTCTGGAACTGACCTCCCAAAGCCTCAAATTGTGAGCCGGAGCAGATCATTGAGGAAATCTCGTGATTTCGATTTTAGTCCCGAAGCATTGCTCTCAAACAACATCGACAACAACAACAATAACAATGTGGTAACAGCAGCAGCAGCAGCATTACCATCTTACACAGCTTTGCTTTTAGAAGACATTCAAAATTTTCACCAGAAGAGTGTGAATGTCAATGTCAATGCCATAAGTTCATCTATTCCCAAGGCTTGCTCCATCGTCGTTGAAGCGGTTTCTGATCTTAACTCCACTACGAACCAACAACAAAGAACCGAGTTCAACAGTTTCAAACCATCAGAAGTGAAGAAAGCGGATATTATGGAGCCAAGCTTTGAGAAGTACGTGACTGTTAAGAGAGGGGGTTGTTCGTTGGAGGACATGGAAGAGCAAGAATCTTCAGGGAGCAATAGTTTCACTGGAAGTAGTTGTGTGGTGCAGCGACATGGATTCTCGTCGTCTTCTTCATGGGAACCGAATTCAGCTGAATCGACTGATCGAGTGTGTGTGAGATCAAACAAACAAGAACGTGATCGGAGTCCACTTGGTTTGAATACTGAGAAACAAGAGTTTGATCCGTTGAAGAAGAATGTTGTTGGAGTTGGACGTAAAAGAGTGGCTCTTGTTGATTCGTCTTCAAGCAAACAGGCAACAACCACAACTCGTGTTGCTGCAGTTTCAATGTAACAGTGAAATTCGTCGTGTTTCTTTAGTTGTTGTTATTGTACTTTTCCATGGTTGCAGAGTAGCAACTGGTGTTTGGCTTTTTTGTTTGTTTGTAATCATATGATCAATTCGAATAATATATTCCTTCTTCACGGTTAAAAATATTTGAGGCTTTATTAAATGATTTCTTAAAAATTTATTACAACATTCACTCAATATTATAAAAGAAAAGCTCAACTTCGTGATGCCACAGACAAAACTCACAGGCAGAAGAAGTATTCATGTCGTTGTCCTCACCGTTTCGATGCCAAACACATTTGTATGCTACGAACTTCATGGTTCGACCATCGCACTCGCACTTCTCTCGAACGTACGCTCTTTTGAGTTCTTTCATCACCGGTATGCCTCGCCACAAAATGCTGTCTCTAATCCTGGCTCGAAGTTCCACCAGCTCCTGCAACGTTGTTGACATCAACGGTTTTATTAAACCAGACAAGATCTTGAAACCCTTTTGTTTTGTATCTTAGATCACGAACGCTCCTACCCGCATTTTGAAATTGCAACCTTATATACATCATCGTTTTCATGTAGTTTTCTTTTCTGGATCCATAGAAAGATTATTCTATAGATTATTGAGGCAGTCGTATTTTAAATGAGACATTCTGATTAGCTATACAAAAGTTGTTCACAAAAGCGAATCATGCGATGAAGTGGATGGGACTACGAACAAGATTCAATTTGCATTCACCTGCGAGGAAAATGACATGATACTTGAGTTGTGGTGTACAGTTTTTTGAGTAGTGGAAGCAGCAAGTATTATGTCATTTTCAAACGAACTAGGTGTTTAGTCCGCGACTTGCGCGGACCAAAAAGTTTCATTAAAATCTAAAATAAAATTTTATGTCATAAATCAAAAAATAATTAGATCAAGAATTTGATAAATATAAAATTAAAATAAAGCTAATCTATGAAAGTAATCATTGTCTAACATTAAAAACTTTAAAATAAATACTAATAAATGTATGAAATGAATAAACACAAACTAAAATAAGATTAATATGAATTATTCATCTTTTTCTCTTTTTATATTTTAATTTTTTTCTCTATCATTTTCTTCTTTCTTTCTTTTTTTGTTTTTTTGTTTTTTTTTCTTCTTTATTTTTTATGTTTTTTTTTACTTTTTATTCTACTGGTTTTTCTTTTTCACGTCTTCTTCTTCTTGTTCTCCACATCTTTTCATTTTTCCTCTCATACATCTTTTGATTTTCTTCTCTTCCAGGTTTTATTCCCTTTCTTCTTCTTCTTCAATGTATTATTATTCTCTTTTTTCTTTTTTTTTTCTTTTCCTTTTTTCATTGCCATCGTCTTCTTTGTTATCACCGACTTCCTATTCTTCTGGTGTTTTTCGGCTTTTACATCATCTTCATATTCTTCTACTTTCTCCAATTCCTCATCTTTTAAGGTTTTCATCCAATTTTTTCTCTTCCCTATCTTATTCTTCTTCTACTTTGTCTTCTATTTTATTTTATTTTTCTCCTTCAACAGATTCTTATTCCTCTTCTTCCAATTATTCTTACTCTCTCCAAATTCTTCATCATATTTTAAAGATCTTTGTCTTATCTGTTTTTTACTCCTCTCATGGTTTATATTTTCCCTTTTTTAGTTTTTTCCTTATATTTTTGAGTTCTCTTTTTATCGTTATTTGTTTTCAAATTGTTCTTCTTTATTGTCTTCATCTTTTTTTACTTCTTATTCATCTGATTTGTCTTCGTTTTTTTATCATATTTACCTTTTTCTACTTTGTCTTCTTCATCTTCTAGTTTTCTTCCATTTTATTATTATTTTTTTTTACTTCCTCTACTATCTACTGGTTTTCTTTTATGACTTCTTCTTCTGATTATCTTTTTTCTTCTCCAATTGGTCATTTAATTTTTTTTGTTCATTGTCTTCGACCTATCCGACTATTTTTTTTATTTTACTTGTTCACTGTATTATTTTTTGTTCATATTATCGTTGTTTTCTTATTCTTCTCCTTTTTCTTTATTTTTTAGCTTTTCTATTCTTTGTTTTATCCTTCTTATCTTTCATTGTTTTTGACTATTTCTTCTTATGTATTGTATTCATCTTCTTTGACTTCTTGATTTTTTTTTTTCATTCGTTTTTTTCTTCGTTTTTTCTGTTGATTTTTTTTGTTTTATTTGTCTGCCCCTTCTTCTTTGTTTTATTTTTATTGTCTTTGTATTCTCTAAATTCTTATTCTTCAACATCTTATACTATTCTTCTTTTGCTTTTATTAGCTGTTTTTATCTTCTGCTTTTTACTTCTTTTTGGTCATTTTTATCTTATCCAAACTTTTTTTTCTTTCTAATTTTTGTTTGTCTTTTTTGCATCTTTACATTCTTCTTTTTATTTTCTTTTTCATCGTCGGGTTTTCATCTTTTTATACTTTATTTTCTTCATCTACTATTTTTGTTCTTCTTTTTCTTTCAGTTTTCTTCTTCAACTTTGAGTTCTTCATCTCCTTATCATTTTTCTTCTTCACTATTTTGTGTTACCCATCTTGATCTTATTGTTCATGGTCTAGGACTTTTTGTTCATTTTTTCCTCATTTTTTTATGTTTTCGTCAACTCTATGTTCTTCCATATGTTTCAATTTTTCGTTTTTCCCTTTTTCTCTTCTTCTGTTTTTCCTCTGCGTCCTGCTAGAGTATTTGGCCTCTCTTACATTATTCCAAATAAATAGAATTTAGAAAGCCATATTTATAAAAAAACAAAAAAACAAAAGACTTAAAACCTGTTCATTAGACAATGAAGATGATTTATGATATGTTGACATGGTTTTAATCACGTTAAGTAAGGAAGAATAACTGACAACACAAAACAACAACATATAATCGAGGAACACTACTACTGGTACTGAAAAACGGAAAAAACAAGAAAAAATAGAAAATTGATTTATAAAAAATAAAGATGGTAAACAAACAACGAAAAACCGACCAATGTAGAAACCAAACCACAATTGAGCTTAAGATACATTTTATAAAGTAATATATTTATATATAGATCTCAACTTAAGCGAGGATTTCCCATATCACATGTACATTTTTTTTCCAGATAATCTCGCTCAACAGATAATCCGATTGAAATTATCTTAATATTATCAAAATAACTAAAAGTGGCAGCAAAATTGTTATACAAACTACGAAAATAAATTAATTAATTAAGGATATTTAAAAATATTTTATTAACAAATAAAGAGGAATTAGTTACCTAGATTGAATAAGAGACCTTATAGCAAAAAATTTACTTCGCATATATTATGTATGATATGATTTTAAATGTTTTTTGATTAAATTCTAATTTTTATTTTTTCGTTATTTTCTATTTGAAATATTTTTTGATTAAATTTCTATTTTTAATAATTTTTATTAAATTTAAATGTTTTTTTATTAAATTTCGATTTTCAACAATTTTTTTAATTAATTTACGATTTTTAATATTTTTCTTTAATTTACGATTTTTAATAATTTTTTAATTAATTTACGATTTTTAATAAATTTTTTATTAAATTTAATTTTAAAAAATATAAAGAGGGATAAATGGTAATTAGCCACCCTAGGATTAAATAAGAGCTTTAACTCAAAATTTTACTTTGCTTATAATATATATGATATATGAAATGATTTTAAATGGTTTTTTGATTAACTTCCAATTTTTAAATTTTCGTTATTTTCTATTTGAAATATGTTTTGATTAAATTTCGATTTTAATAATTTTTATTAAATTTCAATGTTTTTTTATTAAATTTCGATTTTTAACAACCTTTTATTAATATACGATTTTTAATATTTTTATTTAATTTACGATTTTAAATAATTTTTGAATTAATTTACGATTTTTAATAATTTTTTTATTAAATCTAATTTTTTTAAAAGATAAGGAGAGATAAAAGGTAATTAACCATCCTAAGATTGAATCAGAGAGCTTTAACTCAAAATTTTACTTTGCTTATAATATATATGATTAAAAGTCGGTTTAGTTATCAAACCAATTTTACAATTGGAATGGGGTTTAATTAGAATCATAATTTGAACCTTTCACGGGCTAACTTTTCAAACCAAAAATGTTACAATTGGACTGGTGTCAAATCGGGGGGGGGGGGGGGGGTTTAGAACCCTAATTTTGAATCTTTCTAGTTCGTCTTCTTCCTCTAATATCTCTCTGAGCTCAATTTACAAATAAAAACAAGCGAGTGGTCAAATGTCTTTGAAATGTCTCTGGTCTTTAAACGTTTTGCTTCAAATACGTAAAGAAGGGACTTGTTTCTTCCTCCATAGATATCTTATCCAAAGCCACTGTGATAGATACTTTCTTCAACCTATCTGTTTACTCTCTCTCTCTTTCACTCTCTATCCAAAGCCAGTGGTACTCTCCTTGGCGGCTATAACAAAAAAAAACAAACTATTGAAACAAGCCAGTAGTTTCCAGTACAGTTCTCATACAAATTCCTTTGAATTTTCCTCTCCTCTTTACCCGTTTGGCTTCTATATATGAACAAGGAAGCTTGTTTCCTCAACCACTGCTATACACTTTCCTCAAACTCTCTTTTGCTCTCTCTCTCTCATGGCTTCTTCTTCTCTTCCTCCTTCTCCTGGTGCTCATATTAAAAGATACGATGTCTTTCCAAGCTTCAACGGGCCAGATGTTCGTAAAAGGTTTCTCAGTCATTTACACCATTACTTTGCATGCAAGGGAATCAAAATGTACAAGGATAATAATAACATGGAGAGATGCCATACGATCAAACGTGAACTCAGACAAGCGATTAAAGAATCGAGGGTCTTGATGGTTTTGCTCTCCAAGAACTATGCTTCTTCGAGCTGGTGTTTGGACGAACTGGTGGAAATCTTGAAGTGCAGAAAAGACAAGGAGCATATTGTGATGCCGATTTTCTACGACGTTGATCCGTCCCATGTACGGACACAGAGCGGGGACTTTGGGATCGCTTTTGAGAAACCTGCGAAAACCCAAACAGAGGAATTGAAACAGAGATGGGTCGAAGCTTTGAAACGTGTCACGACCATAGCTGGAGAACACTCTCGTAACTGGTTTGTTTTTAAATTCTTTCGTGATTTAACCATAGCTGGAGTTTCTATAATTTATTAAGATTTTGTTTTTTTGTTTTTTTTCCAGGACTGATGAAGCTGAGATGGTGCAAAAGCTTTGCACAGATGTCTCGACCAAACTGAGAGTGGAAGAGATTAAGGATGAATTTAGGAAATACGATGTAGACAAGAATGGTTTCATAACTGCAGCAGAGCTTCCACGATGTGTGTTGATAAAAGATGGGGAGGAATCTACCGATAAGCAAGTTCGTAGTATCATCCGAGTTGTTGATGTTGATGGCGATGGTCAGATCAACTTTGATGAATTTGTCCAACTCATGGCTCTTAGGTGAGGGATTCTTAAAGCCTTAACCTCAAAGAAACAAAAAGAAAAACGATTTATGATGTCTTACAGTGATTCAATAGTGGAGTTTCTATAATCTAATAACATTCTTTTGTTTTTTTTTGTTTTTTCTTAGGATGAGTGATGAAAAGCTTTACACGGACCAAGTAAGAGTGGAAATGATGAAGGAAGACTTTAGGGAATGCGATGTAGACAAGAATGGTTTCATAACTCCACCAGAGCTTCGTTATGTGCTGACAAAAGACGGCGAGGAGTTTACCGATAAGCAAGTTCGTAAGATCATTCGAGTAGCTGATGTTGATGGTGATGGTCAGCTCAACTATGATGAATTCTTCAAAGTCATGATGCATGTGTGAGTGATTCTTAAGCCTTAACCTCATGAAAAGAAAAGAAAAAAAGGATTTATGATGTGTTACAGTGAAAATTTTAACGCTTTTTTCTTTCTTAATCTAAATATCTAATCTTATAAGATTATGTTTTTTTTTCTTTTGTTAGAAAGTGGAGGCCTGATGATAGAACTGCGAGGATCGAAAAGATTACCACATATGTCTCGAACAAATTGAATAAATTCAGTCATATGCATGGTAAAAGCCTTATCCTGAAGAAGAAGATAAAAACGATTTATGAATGTCTTACAGAGTGAATTTTCATCATGATTTGATCCTGGTTGTCTTCTTTAGGACATGTTTTTTACATCTTACCACCTTCGATTTGGTTGCTTTCTTAAGCTCTTTAATTAGTGTTATGTCAAGTATGAACTCATGTTTTGCTCATCCTGTGAAAATTGATTTTATCTCTTTGTTTTATTTGTTTCTATATTAATTTCTCTTGTTTTTGTTTTCAAAATAATGTTCTACAAATTGGCCGCCAAGACGTCTATATTTCTCTTGTTTTGCAATATTTGATAGGGAAGTGAATCTGTCATAGGTATATATATTATTTTGATATGTCCAAGATCGGCAAGCTTTCTATAAGTAAAGTGAGCCTTTGAAAAATTGTGTAATCTCAAATTCTTAAGATTTTGCATGAGTGTTGTTACAAAAAAAAAAACAAAAATGCTAGCTTGCTTGCTACGCATACTACAAGAAGACATGGAATATATACCTCGTATAAATTTACTACACTGGGATTCATACCGGAGAAAATGTCTTTCCCAAACCTTTTTTTTTTTTTTGTTAAAAGGCTTTCATTAAAATAAAGAGTTTGGGAGACATCAAATAAGAACCAACATCAAACGAAAACAGCCAAGAAACGGGAAAAGAAAAAGCTTAAATAAAGAGAACAACGAAACAGAAACAGGGGGAAGGACCATTTGGGAAGCACTTTGAAAGATCACAAATGGGCAGAGAAAGCGGAGTAAACCGCAGGCATGGGCCAGCCAAACAAATCAGCTTGAAGACCATAAACGAAGAAGAGCAGGGCCCGCCTTCACACCAACATTCTTCAAAGCGATAGCTTTAATCTTAACCACAATCAGGATTTTTTTCAAAATAGTAATTTATTCTTAACATTTCAATGACTCAAATGAAAATTATTAAGTTAAGAGCAATAATTAATTTTGAACCATCATTTTGGTGCAATAAAAGAATGGCTACAAGATCAGAGAGTGTTTATCGTTCTTGCAACCAGCTAAATGTATTGGCTAAAGAACCTTCTTTATTCGGTTATGGAAGTTGGATTATCGTTATCAGATAAGTTGAACAATATGGATTTTCCATTCAGTGCTGAAGCTTTTCCCCATCTTCTGACTCTATATGCTTTCAAACAAATTTCTCCATAACATGTCTTTTTAAGAGCTTTCAAATTAGGAAGCTTTGTAAGTAAACAGTATTTAATTTGTTGGTTTGAGACTCTTTATTTTTCTTTTCTTATTACAGAAAGGCCACTACTCAATTTACCGAGCCAAATCGAGTCAGGTTTTTTTGTTATCAGTCAATCAAAGTGATGTTACCGAATATAACCGATTTTGGTTCGGTTTGATTCTGTTTGGTTCTAGGTTAGTTTCAGCTTTTAATAGTATAGATTTTTTTCAAATTTGGATGTTTGGTTATTTTTTATTCAAATCATATAATTTTGTTCAGTTAAATTCGGGCATCGGTGAAAACCAGTCTAATTTTGGTAGAAACCAGTCTAATTTTGATATAATCCGGTTATTAAAAAATAAAATAGAATCATGAGAGTGATCTGTTAACCAGAACCGAACCGAATATCTCAGCTAACCGAACCCAAACTGAAAACTTGCGATCGGTTCAGCCGAAGGAACTGAAACCGAATCAAAAGGTCCGGTTCGATTCAAAGTCCCAGGGCCTAGATGATTCTACAGATTCGCGGCACCGTCTCATCTTCTATCCTCAGGGGATCTCTCCGCCCCCACCGCCCCCAGTTGCTTCCACAGTCTCAGTCTCAGTCAGTAATCTTCTTCAATAATCATCACAATCTAATGGATTCCGGTGACGTTATGAGCTTCTTCACCAGAATATGTCCAGTGGTAACTCGATCTGACGGCTTTGATGAAATTCAAGAGAAGTAGCTAAGCTAGCACCAAATCGAGAGGATGATGATGGCCGATGTTGATCCTGGGGATCACTAAGTATGTTTAACAGATGATGAGAATGATTAGAGATGATTTCAGGGCGAGATTTTCGTATAATAAGAGTGATTCAGTTCGGGGAGGAAAAGAGAGTGTCAGCTCGGAGCCGTGAGAAGAGTATGTAAAGAGAGAATACTTAGTGTTTCGAACTAAGTCTAAAAAGAGTCCAGTTCGGCGTTTTTAAATTGTTACAGCGAGCTCGGAAGAGAGACAAGTGTATTCAAGTAGAGAGAGAGAGTAATCAATTTCCGGTCCCCTCATAAATGATCTATGGGGAGTATTTATAGCGGAAGCCAGGAGACGAGTTCCCTCCAAATCGGGACGACGTGGCAGCTTCGGCGTATCTCGCGGGTATGGCGTCTCGAGCCGCGCATCCGAACCACTCCGCGGCGAGTGATATGGTCCTTCGCCAAGCTACTTGCGCAGATAGGTTACTGTAGACGACCTGCTACTACACGTGTCGTATCCTGCTTGGTTCCGGGTACTGTAGATCGGCGCAGTGATGATGACGATTTAGGCGGGGTCATGCTGACTGGACTGATGATTTTTGGCTGGGCTTCATCATCCTACTATGGGCTTTATTATTGAGGATGGGCCTAGCTAATTGGGGGTGCTAAGCCCACCTCCAACCATAGGCCTCCCCCAGTTCGGTGTATGAGAGGTTGTTGAATGAGCCAAACTCGTGGTGTCGATTAGCTCGGCCCATAGCAGGTCGGTAATATGTGGGTTTAGGGTGAACTTCCTCGCGCTCTAGTATAGGCGGGAAACGGATCAAGATCTCCCGCGTAAAACCTAGGAACCTTCGCGCGTGACCAGCACGCGGGGACATGAAGGGACGTTTGTTGCTGCTTTTTATTTTTGCGCGTCTCGAGGACGGTACCGAAGCGGCGTCATCATTAGGGTTTTGCCAAGTGTCAATCACTCTCCTCTTGATTGGTTATTTTTCTCTTCTTCTTCTATTTAAATGCTCTTCTCCTTCCTTCCTCTTACTTTTGCTCTCGCGTAGGAAACAGAAACGGAAAAAGAACTTCTCCTCTTTGCTCCTTCGATTCTATTCCTCCTCTTTTTTTCTTTTCCGATTTCGATTTTCGGCGTTTTATGATGGCGGATATCTTCGATAGGATCTCGGCTGAGTCTCAGACCGAATCTGGCTCCCGAGAGGAGTGCGGTGAGATGCTCCCGGAAAGTTCTTCGCCGGCGACCAGTTCGAAGCGCACGGTTTCTCCTCATCGTGATGAAGAAGACAAAGGGGATGATATTCCGCTGATCGACCGGGCCAGAAGGAAAGCGCCTCAGACTGGGAGTTCGAGAGGCGGCGGACATCGTCGGGGTGAGCGCAGCGATCAGGCCGGAGGTGGTGATAGAAATCCGCGACCCCGGAGGTCTAAAGCTCCGAAGCCTCCTCGGGTTTCTTATGCGGATGGGGGATCAGGAACCTGGAGCAATTCGAAATCCATTTCGGCGATGATTTCTGGGTGCGGGTTTTCGTCTGATGTTGAAGTCCGAATTCCCGCTGAGGATGATCGCCCCTGGCGTCCTCCGAGTGGTTTTGTATGCCTGTGCAAGGCTTATTTTACGAGATGCAGGCTGCGCTTCCCCCTTCCCGATTTGTTTGTCTCGTACTGTCATCGGCGGGACTTGGCTTTTTCGCAGATATGCCCGACGACCATGCAGAACATGGTCGTGCTGTTGACTCTCGGGTCGGAGAGCGGTGTTGACGTGTCGCTTGACCTTTTTGAAGATCTTACCAATCACAAGAGTAATCCCGCTATACCGAGCTCATATTATGCTTCCTTCAAGGTGGGGTTGGACATGACGTCTGACAAGCCGAGCAAGGTTGGCGAATGGGATCGCAGCTACTCTTATGTGCGGGCTAACGAAGCGGCCGGTCTCGTTCCAGGTCGGAGCTATCGAACTGATTGGAATTTTTCTCCTGGTAAGGCCTCTTCGTATTTGTTTGGCTTGGCGACTTTTCGACTTTTATGACTTTTTTTTTGTTTTTTTTTAGTTTCGCACCGAGATGGAGTCAAAGTAGGGGACTACGAGCCGCTCCTTGATAAGCTTAGGTCGGTGGAGAGACGCAGGTGGACGGATTTTTCTGCCGAACGGGTGGCGGTGGCGTTTTTGACGATGGCGTCGGGTAAAGGCCTAACCCTTTCCCCTTTTTTTTTTTTTTTGATTTTAGTATGTTGCAGGCCGCCCGCGGCATTTTTCTTCAGCCGGTGCTACTTCGTCGGCGGCACCGCCGAGGCCGGTTGGTCCACCGGCGTCGGGTGAAACATGGTCGAGGCAGGGCGCTGGGACCGCACCGTCTTCAGCTCGGACGAGGCCGCTCGTGCCACCAACAGTGTCCGTTAGAAGATCGAAGTCGGGGGCTGTGACGGGGACGTCCTCATCGGGACAGAGATCGGGCGCCGCGGTAAGGTCGTCCGCTCCGACCCCAAGGTCGACGCCGGTTCCTTCAGCTCCGCTGTCGGTTCCATTATCTACTCTAACTGCATCGTCTCCGACGTTGACCCCTGCTCTGAGGCCTGGTGAGTAAATGATAAATGTAAATTGCGAATCCACTGCTGTTGTTGTGGGGACTGACGCTTTATTCTCAGGTCGCTCCCGTTTTGTTATTCCTTCATATGCGGCAACTCTGCTTCCCACGCCGGCTGTTCCGAATTCTGGTGCAACCGATGACGATGAGACCGAGAACGTTCCCGCGTTGGGGAGGAGGACGGCTGCGGAGAGGGAAAAGGAAGAAGGTGTCGCTCCAGATGCGGCATCAAAGAGACGGAGGACGGGGGAGCCGGAAGCATCGACGTCCGAGCAGGGGCCGATGTATCCTGGTGGACGAGAAGGTGGGGTCCCTGAATCTCAGGGGGCTGATCTTCCGGTGGATAGAGGGGATCATGTCGTCGAGGGAACCGTGGCGCCCGATCTCGCGGCGGAAGATCGGGAGGGCGGTGGGGACGGTACTCAGGTAGATGATCTGCCTGAGGGCCAAGGAGGTCGGCACGATGTTGGTCCCGAGGGCGGGGATGCCGAGATGGACGGAAACGATCTGCCTGGTGGGGGTAACAGTGAGATCGTTTCGCATCACCATGAGGGTGGGGAGGGCGAAGGTCGGAGGGACGGAGGAGGGACCGGAGCGCGGGAACCCGGGATGCCTACCAATGAACCGGGTCTGGAGGAGGATCACTGCTTCGATTTTAGCTACCGCGAAGCAGGTCGGAGCATCCACTGCGATAGATGTCAGTGCGCCGAACTTATCTATGCGGCGTCGCATGGGAGGCAAAAACCCTATCGCTCCGTTGAGGACTTGGCTGTAACCGCGAACTTCCAGATAGCTTCGCGGGATTTGATTCAGATAAGTTCGAGAGCTCGCAATTGTATAGTTGTGCTATTCTAGATGACTGA